CATTTTATTTCCCCATTTATATATACAAAAACAAATATTTTATTGTAGGTTTTGATAATGTATGCGTACTCCCAATTGAAATAATTGAACTAAATTTACTTTTGTTAAAATATATGCCTATATTTATATGCATAATATTGTTGCGCTGGTGACCTGATGTACTGGGAAGAAACATTCGAGAAGTCTTTTTACCGTTTATTCACAAACTAAAAGTTTGGAGGCAAAGCACTTTCTAACTAAAGATTATTGTCTTAAATAATCTAAAAACAAAAGTATGCAAATTTGACGAAATAAAAGTATGTAAAATAATTATAGAAAACAAAATTATGTAAAAACAATTATACATGAAAGTTATTAAAAATAAATAAGATGTTAAAAGTTACAATTGAATCCATAAGAAAAGATGTAGACAAAACAAGTAAGTTAAAAATGGAACATGTAAATTAAAGGCTCCAGCAGCGCGCCAACAATATTATAATAATTTATATATACCTGTATTTATATATAAGCCTGAAAAAAATAGTAATTTACTCGCTTCTTTGTCTACGAAAGGCAGTGTTAACAGGCCTATTGCCGGATTTCAATGAAAGTAATTTAATAGCTTATTGTTAAATCGTTTGGCCAATAAAGGGTGGCTTAAAAAATGTACCTAAACAACAAAAACATTTTAAAAATATATCTTGAACAAAATAAAATTGTGCTTTCTATCTCTACATATTATATTTAACAATATAATTGGTTTGTATTGAGAAATTTATTAGTAAATTTATATATTTCTATTAAAAGAGATAGAAAGAGAGATAAACGTTAATTGATATTCATACTAATTTTACGTTAAAGTATAATATATTCGTAACAAACAATTTCAATTATTATCTGTGAATAAATATCTCAGAATTTTAATTTGATTTCTGACCAAAATTATTTCTTACTTGGTGTAGCTATGTAAATCACATGAATTTTAATAGAGTAAACATAACGTAACCGTGTTTACCATCACTAATAAATAGTTAGCTGATATATTAAATCTTTGAATATATATTATATTTACTAGTAATATCTGAATCCTGTTCGGCTAGATGATGTAATTTGATGTTCACTGTTGAAGTCAGGCCTTCGAACGTCCATCAGTTACACGTGAGGAAGTTATTTCTTCTGAACCTGAAACGTAACTTGAGAGTTGTGCAAATATTGTGTTAAGACATTTGTTACTTAGTCATTATTTTACTCTCATTGTATTGAACTACTGTATTCAGAATAATCGTAATCAAGTTAGATTCGTAGCAAATATTGTGTTAAGACATTCGTTACTTAGTCATTATTTTACTCTCATTGTATTGAACTACTGTATTCAGAATAATCGTAATCAAGTTAGATTCGTAGCAAATATTGTGTTAAGACATTCGTTACTTAGTCATTATTTTACTCTCATTGTATTGTACTACTGTATTCAGAATAATTGTAATCAAGTTAGATTCGTAGCAAATATTGTGTTAAGACATTCGTTACTTAGTCATTATTTTACTCTCATTGTATTGAACTACTGTATTCAGAATAATTGTAATCAAGTTAGATTCGTAGCAAATATTGTGTTAAGACATTCGTTACTTAGTCATTATTTTACTCTCATTGTATTGAACTACTGTATTTAGAATAATTGTAATCAAGTTAGATTCGTAGCAAATATTGTGTTAAGACATTCGTTACTTAATCACCATTTTACTCTCATGATATTGAACTACTGTATTCAGAATAATCGTAATCAAGTTAGATTCGTAGCAAATTTTCAGGCATATGTTTCCAAAATAATTATTTTAATCCATTACTGAGTCAAATGGAGCATTACAGGTTCGAAATTATGATAGCGACTTCTTTCAGGTCTTTCTTCATATGGTTATAAAGTTTAATCTGGATAAGTCAAATATTGCGGAAATATGCTGACGGCCGCGGACGGTTGGCTCGGTAACACTGGAGCTGACGTCACTTCCTGTTGATGTAACCCTGCAAGCGGCGTCGCCACATACTGACTTGTTCTTTTTCTCCATGTTTACTATTTAATCTATATATAATCCCTTTACCTTGTAGTTAATTAAATAATAATTAACGTTGAGCGCTGTGTGTAATCAATTGGAATACAACAAAATATATTCGGACAAACTAGAATATTTATCAATTTATATTCAGATCAAACATTCTTTATGGCTTGGATATTTCTACTACTATATATGTCAAAAATAATAAGTTTCGCATTAGGAAAATGGTTTTGAAAAATTCTGTAAGGAAATATCAGAAAGAGATAAAGTTTCAAATAGAAATGAACGTTAGCAATGCGTTTCTTTAATTGTATGTCTATCAACATATAGATATGCGACCTGTATAAGGACTAAAAATGTACGAAAGATTGCCATACACAAATAAAGAATCGTATTGCTAACGTTATGAAAATTCGAAACTATTATAGACGTCTATGATTATTTTTAAAATAAAAAAAAATCAACTGCCTTTACTGCAATGTAAAAATTAATGGGAGGGTCTGGCTCATCAATAGTGAAACCGCTTGGAGGGTTTCTAAATCTCTAAATCTAAATTAATTATAAATGTTTACACACAAAAATATTTGAATATATAAAATATATAATATTATAGGAGAGAGAGAGTTATAAATTCTATGTAAATTAATATAATTAAAAGATGAAAAGCAAAGTTTTATTGCCAAAGTATTTTTTTGATTTTTGTTTTTAGAAAAGAGCAGCATTAAACCATGAAAATTTTTCCGTTGAATATATTTAGGAGAGGTTTCAACATTTGTCACTCGCTGAAAATTCTAATTTTGAAACAGATTATACAACTATGAGTTTCTTCTATTGAGGCATAATTTAAGGTAACTTCCAATCCCTGTTGTCGCTGCTGTATCTATTTGGGGCTAGTGCCTCAAGGAAAAGCCTTTGATGCTTATTAAGTACGTGGTCGTAATAGAATTTTACTTCCTTCAAGAGCGTGGGCACGTTTATTAGAGATGTCGATAGTAAGCGTTTTGTTGCTCTTCTTTGTTAATTTCGATGACGCTCAATGCGAACTTCGATGTAACGGATGCTATCTCTCCCAATTATACGAATATGAAAGAAGTCTTTTCAATTTAAGATTTTAAAAATTTCATATAGTGTATGTATAGCGTTAATTTATTTTTATTCCTGATTCACAAACTTACTAGAATTTCCTTTATTAAGTAGAAGTATAGAAGAGATAGAAAACAATATATTATATTTCTCTCTCTCTCTCTTGGTCTTGAGTTGGGTAATGCCAGCCATCACCTCGACCTGCCCACTCGGTGGGAAAGAACTCTCGCAGTCCATCGGTGGCGGAGTCTTTCTCGCGGTGGGGGCCACCAATGAAGACCTTGTTTATATATATTTATATATATATATTATATTTAAATAAAAATAAGATAAGATTTCTGTTGTTTTGGATCATATAGATGATTATGCTATGGTGGCGCAGTCGTGGCTATAATAATAATAATAATAGTCTTGATCAAAGGTTTCTTTAATTGAGCTAAGTGATATATATGAAAAACATAATTTGATGAAAGTACTGCCTGGCTTTAGGCGTAAGAATAAAAAAAGAAAAGCTTATTTACATAATGTACAAATGTTTTGGGTCGACCAATCGGGGAAGAACAACAATGAGTATTTATAGAGAAAGCGCGACCTCTGGCGGTCGATTTAAACAGAGTATTTATATCTATGAAATAATAATTTTAAATAAAATAATACTTTTATATAACATATATATATGTATATTTATCAATTATTTTATCTATTTATTCATATATCTATCATTATTAATCTTATTTATTCATTTTATCTGTATTTAACCTTATATAATCTTATATGGACGTTATAATAAATCAGTTTCAATCTCTCTCTCTCAAGAGTTAAATACAACAATAAATCACAAAACGTAATCTATATGTTTCCATCCCTTGAGGGTTATTTTAAAGTTCATTTTTGGTTTGAAGTGTATTTGGAAAAATATATAGCTACATCAACCAATTTTGTTATTTAGTTCCCGATGTTTTAATGACTAGCTGTCAATCTCCTTAAGGTAATGCTTATTTTTTAAACCTATTTAATACTTATATGTGCACATGACTTACGAGTGCAGAAAATCGTGTACACACATATATAAATAGAATTCGAAAATAAGCATTCTTCTAAGAAGGGAGACAGAGAGTTACTAAACCTCGGGAAGAAAAGGTAGGAATCAATGGTCGTGATCATAGTCAAGGCCGTGAGTCATTTAGCTTGAAAGTTCATATTAATAGAAAAGAATAAAATTATCGTAATAGTTTAAATAAAAGGGCGTACCTGGATTTGTAAAGAAAAAAACAACAATTTTTCTCTAAAAATATTTATATAAACTTATTTAATGGATCGCCTTTTGACTTAAATTATCGTAATAAGTTTAAAACTTGCTTTTTTCTAATTTTTGTCACTTACTCGATGCTAAATTAGAACAAAACAAACCAAGTTTGGATTTAAACAAAAATTGTTGATAACCAGAAAGGCTGCTCATTTAGGTTTTCTTGTGTCTTTATAATTCAGCTATGGGTTATCGTAATTATTGTGAACATGGCTGTTCCGTGTTTCCTATGTACCTTGTGTGTGTTGATTCTGTCTTCTGTCTTTCCACTAATTGTGAGTAGTAATTAACTTTTGTTTTAGCAGAGCCTCACTAATTTGGGTCTAATTTTAGCACCAACTCGGGCCTTCTGTGTTGCTATCCACAACTAGCTCAATTTGAATAGCAATATTCAAAAAGGGATTCTATTTCGTCTCTTCTGAAATACCACAATGAACTTGGTATGGAAATCTGTATAAATAAATTAGAGAAGCATCTGAAGCAAATTCCAATTGAACTATAAATTTTTCAAATTCTTTCGTTGTGGTGGCATGTCAGCAATCAGCAATATTCTCTTTATATTTACTCTAACATCGCCTACGGCCATGTCACATTGTAAACACCGGTTCTCGTCCAATCTTCGAAGATAAACAAGACGGGCCCGTTCAGTACTTGGAAGTGTGACCACTTGAAAACACCGGGTTAAAGCATCCGGTTTCTTTAGGCTTGTTGAACGAATGGGGTAAACCGTCGATTTTCGAGAACCATGACCCGAGATTAAATCCCGCATTTGACGCTTTTTTCTGAATGTAAAAATGCTCTAATTGTTCCCGATTCTTTCAAATTCTAACCTCACCAGTGAGCGAAAGTAACAAAACGGAGCTCTGGGATATCTGAAAAAGTCATACTGTGTCCTACATGTGTAGACATGTGTACTTAGAGTAGAATTCAGTAGCTAACTATTACCCACCATGAATATTATGGCCTGTACCAGGTTTCTACTCGGGATAATTAAAATTTTCTAACACCAACTTTTATTTATGTTTATGAGGTTTCTGATTTTGTTCAGTCAAAGAATGGAATAGGTGACACCGCAGATTTTTATTAAAGAAGAAAAATTGCCATCTCTATGTAATTCTTTCTTTAACTAACTATTGGAATTGAGTGGGTAGTTATCGTAAAGTTTTAAACTGTTTTTTTTTAATCCAATTTTAATAACTTTGAAAATCACTCTTCTCAATCTTCGCACATTATGAAGCTTTCTTATAGATATATTGAATTATTTTTATTTTATTGTTCGGCTATCTACACTATAAACATCCTTTTGTAATTACAAATTTCTTGAAAGCAAAATCAATGAATAGGTTAAGCCATCCATTTCCTCCCTGATAACAGTAAGGTCCATTTGCCCTCAGAAAATGCCATCTGCATTGATTCTATTTAATTCACCAGTTGAATACGTCAGCCTCTGTTTCAATGTAATAAATATTGATAGGAATATATTGAAATAAAATCATGCAGCTACGTCATTTCCTGGAAATTAGAAATTCCTAAAAAAATATTTGACTATAAAGATTTTCAGAGACCTGGATAAGTCCATAACTCCACCCTCAAATAAGGAGAGCTCTCACTTTCCCTTCAATATAGACACGGCTTTTAAAGGCGGATGAATCTGCTATTAAGATGGCGCCATATGGAAACTATTTCTCCCATGAAAATGACAAATTAATGAACTAACTGGACTAATAGACTATGGATCGAATTAGCAGACATACCAGTCTTAGGGAAGAGTGACTAATTACCTGAAATATTAAAAAGAATATATATATAATGCAATCACAGGATTAGAACCTCGACAACTTAACTATTACCGTCTTTGTGTTTAACATGCAAGTCAGATATTTTCGCCAACTCAAACGCTAAAGATCAATAAATGGTTATAATAAAATTAACTCACGTCAGTGATGAAAATCACTTAAATTTCTGTTAGATACCTACAATCCTTTGACCTGAAAATGTAAGAGTTACGATTCAACAGAAGTTATTAAATTCTAGTCTGCTTAAAGAATAAATCTATGATCGTTCAAAGTATCAAAATAGGGAATATATTAATATTAGAGATAGAGACCAATATAAATTATATAAATCGTTAAAAATATATGAAATCAATCTGAGGAAACTTTGTTCAAGGTCCCCCAGGTATCGTCGCCAAGTTCTCCTGTAGTAAATGCTGCAACAACCGTATAATTTGACCAGCTCTTCTAAAGTGAACGATAAAAACGACAGTGTTTCCGGGTCGGGTTCTCGGAACAACGTGTCGGATGGATCAATAACTGTTGGAGCAGAGTTTCCGTCACTTTTGTTTTCACAGTAGACACACGCTCTGTCTAGTTGAACTTGTGTAGAATTTACTCTACCTAAAGCTTATGTAACCTTACTTTCCTTTAAAATATCACTTTCTAAATTGTTGCCATAAAATCTCAACTTCCCAGTAGAGCTGTCTGGTAGATTATATTGGCAATCCGCTTTGAGGATTCATGAATGATGAGCAAGTTTATTTAGATATTTGTCTCATTATAGTGTATGAAGAGTAACAATTGTTTTTTATTGATGAAATAATCACATATAATTGTTTATAAATTTTATTTACACAGAAAGAGCAATGTTTTTTTATTATATTTCACACTAATTAAAGTTTTTATTTGGTCCGTAACGTGTTGGTTGCATTAAGTTATGGATTCTATATAATACCTGCTTAAGCATAGCTGATTTCTTAAATATTACTGTTGTAATATTGGTAATAAATAATACATGTACTTCGTTTCCTTTCTTCTGGTCCGTGTTCACATACATGCTTATCATGTTCATTATTTCTCAACTAATCCAATAAGTTATTTGATTGGTCTATAGGTGTAAGCTCGTTGTAAATAAATGTTTAATCTTGAACGTTTTTATCGTCTCTGTTATCAGAATCCTCGTTTGGAAGTTCTGCTGCCAATTAATATATTGTGAAGCTTCATGACACAAACATATTGTAGCGGGTGTATGTAAGTTTTTCTTTTATAGCTATTTTTAATGTAAAGGAAATGAATAATCAAGAATGTATGTCTCGTTAGTTTTTATTTTTAACCAACGTCTCCATTTTTACATAAGTCCTCATGTAAACAACGCTAAGTGATGATGATTATTGGAATAAAGTTCTATGAAAAATTAAATATGATAATAATAATTTTGAGATGTTTACAGCATATATATATTATTATTTTTTTTTTTTACGTATCAATATCATCGATGATAACTTTGGAGATTTCGACCCCTGATACTATCAAGACTGACCTTGATTATGTACATCTAGTTGTATATCAGTTTCTTTCTGTCATTATTTTTTTTTTTTGACCCACAAAGCCAATTCCAATTCTCTCAAAAGGATTGTTCTAACGGGTAGGGGAATAGGTTATATTATATAAACGCAACTGAACCGTTTCTATTTGGCAAATATCTTCACAAATTCTGGAACATTTTTCACCCCTATGCGTGGTTCTGGCGTCACTCAGATATCAATTCAGCATATTCTTTGGTACTTCAAGCAGGACGCTCTACCTTTATGTCTTGGATTTTCCTTATATAGTTTTATTCAATAAAGTTATATATGTGATTGAACATTTGTTTCCTTTAATCATTTTATTAACATTTTCAATAAATTGATCATCTTCGTTTATAATTTGATTAAGAAAAAGGTTTTCTTAATATTCGTCCCAACCCATTTCCGTCCCGTAAGAGTCCCCTAGATAAACCATCGGCGTCTATATGTTTTATATATATGAGAAAATAAGAAAAATAGAAAATATTTGTTTTTAAATATATGAGTTAGATAGATCACAACCTTCTTATAACATTTATCATAACCCCATATCTATATAAAAATATGTAATGACCTTGTAACAATGGAAGTGACAAATAAACAAAGAGGTAAAGGTAGTCTAGACGGGGACAAAGACCAGACGACGCCATAATCCAGACGAACAGGTGTTTATGTTAACGAGTTCAATCTCCCCGTCAACAGGTGGCCAGACGTGATAAACAACCCGGCGCCTGACAGGTGGCGTGATTTTACAGGAACCAATCAGGACTCTCCGCCATATGCGGGCATCCAATATAAAAGAGCCCAGAAATGAGACAAAGTTAGTTGTAGAGTTGTTTTCAGAGCGACGCCTTTATACGGTCGGGTCTCTCACCCCTATCCGCGATGTAGGCATCCGTGGCGCCCGTGGTTCGACTGCCTTCGTCCGTGGTCTACCTCTACCTCTTGGAGTTACCATCTAGACCTGCCTCTGTCTCTTGCTGTCCCAGTGCGGGAATCTCATCACGCACCCACTACCACGACTGCCCAGCACATTCCACATCGGGATTACTACATATATACCAAAAATGGCAGAACTCCCGTTAAAGATGCATTTAAACAAGGAATTATGGTGGTGATGAAGAATGTGTTTCAACACCAGTTTTGACAAATTCAGACAAAAGCCACCCACCAGTATACCATGGTTTCAGACTTTGGCCATCATCATTTCAGTAACGGCCTCTTCATCTCCCCCCTAAAGTTTTTACTAGGAATATAAACCACAATGCATTGTTTTAATTCATTTTTGAGAGTAGAGCTGCAACTTCTGTTACATGAATACCGTCCTTCCACATCTTTATATTATATATAACTTCTTAGTATAAAGGTTTATAAATTTTTTGTACATCAATAAGCGTCCACCATATTAAGGAACTATCTTTATAAAATCAAAGATGACTTGCCCCCATGTTACCAAACCTATTGAACAATCCTAATAATTAAAATACAAATATATTCTCACAATGAGTATCTTTTTTATTTAAAAAAAACGCTAGCTTTCAAGCGTTAATCGCTCTTCAACGGGTTTACAATAATTTTATTCATAATATGAATATCCACGCGGCGCGCGTTTGTTTTTTGTAAATATTTCTGAAGGGATCAAGTCGATATTATTGTAAGCCCGTTGAAGAGCGATTAACGCTTGAAAGCTAGAGTTTTTTAAATAAAAAAGATACTCATTGTGAGAATATATTTGTATTTTAATACTTTTCACAATTTTATCATGAATAGAATTCCTAATAATTCCTATTCCAGATGGTAACCATAGGAAGAGTCTTTCTATTCTAAGATTTCTATAAGCCTACAGAAGCCAACCGACAAAATATCTAGTGACACACAGTGTGATAAATTAGTGAGAATATAGTCGAGAAATTGACAAGTTAAATGCCGGTTAGTAGAGGCCGATGTCTTTGCTCAATTAATCATTAAAAGAAATGGCAATTAGCACCGGAATATTGATAATAAGTCTTGCATATTAATGAGGGAGAATTCCCTGATTCTTCGCCGTGTTTAACATACAATAGGTCGCTCTTCTACGTTTAGCTTATAAATCAATTAGTATTTTGAATTTATCAATAAAAGTTCACTTTAGAATATACGTATATTGGTATTTAGACAATAACTCTGAAAGCTATTTAATAAACAGTGACCTTTATTGAAGACACACGAGTTAGCCAAGTGTGAACATATTTTCCTTTGTCTCCTTAAACAGACGATCGGCGACATCAAGTTTGTCCATGAGTGTACTTCCAGGGCATGGAACTGAGGATGTTCCAAGAAGACCCCCTCCTTGTCAGGAGGTCTC